TGGTGGGAGTGCAGACTGGTGCAATTACTGTGGAAATCAGTATGGAGATACCTCAAACAACTAGGATTGGAAGTTCCATTTAACCTAGCTATTCTTCTACTGGGTATCTTCCCAAGAGAATTAAAAGAATAGTACCACAGTGATATGTGCACCCATGTTTACAGCAGCACAGTTTGTAATAGCTAAAACTTGGAAACAGCCCAGTTGCCCATCAACTGGAGACTGGATAAAGAAGATGTGGTTTTAAAAAAAAAACACAAATAAAATGGAGTACTACTCAGCCATAAAGAATGAGAAACTAGAGACATATATAGCTAAGTGGATGCACATTGAGGCCATACTCTTAAGTGAAATAAATAGGACACACCGAATAGTTTCTCTGGTGTGAAAACTAGAAGTATAAATAAGAATCAAAATTTATAATTGACATTGTGAAATAGGAAGAAAATGTTTAAAGGAATAGGGAAAGTGGGAGGGGAAGGGGAAAGGAAAGAAGGGAAAAGAAAAAATATAAGAAAACTAAAAACACGGAAACAAAGTCTGTGCAAATAGGGAAGGGTGGAGGGGGTGAAGGGAGGGCAGGGGAATGGGGAAAATATAAGAACCAAGATGCATCATTTAAAGGTACTAGATCCCAGTGATGAGCATAACTGTATTGTATACCTAAAACGTACCAATAAACTAAATGGAGAAAAAAAAGATCTTCAGATGGGGGTGGGGCTGTATATTTGAGGCATGCAAGGGAAATTGATGTCACTGGCTTGAAGCGAATGGGAGAATAATATGAGTTGATTTAGAAAGCAGAGCAGTAATAAGATTTGATTTTATTTAGAGAGCTACTGTTTGACAGAATCTAAGTACTCTGCTTACTAATTTAATGCTATTAAAACATTACTGCATTTACTCCTGTTCTTTTTCAAATCTGCCACAATAATTAAATTTCACTTTTTCCTGTTTACTAAAGCAACTTCCTGCTTGTTTGAAGGGTGGTTGAGCAATGGGTTCTCATTTCTTTATGCAGAAATGTACCTAATTGCTCAAGCTTTCGTATTTTGAACTGAATGATTTTCAATCTATTCACTGTTCCTTCGCCTAATGTTGTTAAATACCACAGGGAAAAGATTCTTTATAAGCCTAGAAAATTACTTATTTAGTTTCTAAACATTAATTGATCATCTAGCAGTTTTGACTTTAGGAAATTAGAGGAGTTATGCTTCAAGGAAGGTTCATTCTTTGAAGAGATGAAGTTTCAAGTATGACTGATGGTATCACGAAAAGCAGACAAAATTCATTCATAGAACAATCACTTACAATAAAGAAGTCTGTTTCTGTGAAAGTCTGGCAATATGTTTCAAACACTCTCTTGGTGGTTCTTCAAGATGAGTTCTATTCTCTTCAGAATCAGGTTTGATATACTCCCATCCAGTAGCTGGAAAATCAATCTGAAATAAAGAAATGACTTCCCATGTATTGAAGGTGGCTTCAAGTGCATTATTAACTCAATACCCTCTTATTTAGACCTATGGAAAGTAAAGAATAATTTCTATTTTTTTCTGTGCTATTAGTGCTTTATAATAATATTTTAAAGAATAGTTGGAATTTGGACTTGTTATTTAAATGTATATGATGTTTGTCCAATTTTTATACATATTGTATAGATTAGTGATCTGCAATATTGTGAGAAGTAAAAGATAATAGCAATAAACTTGAAATAAAACTAAATATGTCATATTTTGGTCTAAAGCTGAGATTACATACTTTCTGCTTTACATTAAAATGTCTTTCTGTTATGAAATGAAGAAGTTTGGAGACAATAATTATCTCTTTCATGTAATCACTTAGGATAATAGAGAGTTAGTCTATGTTGTTCTCAGACTACAAGTCTGGGAACCTATTTTAGACGCAACAGTGAACTCTTCTCCAGGGGTGACCTATTCTGCAGGAACATTATACATTCAAATAGAATATTTCTGTCTTGGCCTTGTAGTTCAGATTTATAAATGGAGCTGGAATCCAGGGATCCTTTTTTCTTGATTCAATTAAACCATGTTTCAGTGATTATCTAGTTCTAGTAAATAAAGTAACAATTAACAACAAGAAAAAAAAAAGAGTTCCAAACTGTGTAAATGTAATGGATAGTTCAGCACACCATATATTTTCTTAAGACTAGTTTTTTCATTTTAACATTAGCTAATCTGCAGAATTTATTTTTCTCTGCTTATTTTTCCAACCTTGGTTGAAATCTTGGAGAAAACTGAAGAACATAATAGACTATGCTACAGTTTGAAATGCATTTTAATAAATTTGAGTTCTTATTTATTTGAGAAAAATTAGTAATTTCATTCCATAATCAGTAATATTTTTTGAAATTACTATTTTCATTATATTTTTTATCATATATCACTTATTACTTCAATCTGATGAAAAAATTAATAAATAAGCTAAGCCAAAGCAGTATTACAGTAAATTTTACCTCCTTCAGAATTAATCATAAAGGATTTACTTTGGTGTCTTAGGTGGATGCTCATACAGTACCAACTAGTTAGATATTTCTCTTTTTGTGCTTAAATATTGTTATACATGTGGAAAGAATATATTAAAAATGATGTTTAATGGGTTAAGACAATTTTGTATCAGTCCCAAATAAATGGCAAGGTGGATAAGGAAGAGAGAGACAGTGAGTGAGAATGTAAAAGTGTCTCACGAATCTATAATATATTCATACATATTTTACTTAGGCAAACATGTTTATTTTTAATACATGAGTGAGCCTTATATCAAATTACATTTTTATGGAGTATGGGCCTAAATAGTTACTGATTCTAGAACAACTGGTAGAAAATATTGGAATTTCTCCAGTGGCCTTTTCTTTTAACTTTCTTTTTATTAGTACATGTTTGTAGTACATACGTTTACAATCCTTGTGGAGAGTCTTCTAACTTTTCACAAATGAGAAGTTCTCCAAAACTATATATCTATGTATTTCCTGTACAGTACTTTTGCGGCTCATGAATTATGGAAGATACAGTGCAATAGTATCTACTGACCTTAGGTAACTTATTGATGAGAATAAGCACACCAATTAACAAATAAAATTGAGGATAATAAATACACAGTACCCCAAAACTGTGCTTCAAACCAGTAATGACCAACATATGGCTCTGTCTTTCTCCTTCTATGGTCCTGGCTGATAGGACCCAAATTTCTCTTTAATGAAATATTGCAAGCGATCTCTTCGAATGTCTACATTACTTGTGCCATGATACCAATTTGTCACATTCTGGCTTCAAGCCTTGAAAATACACTCCTGATTTTAACAATAACAACAAGATTATAAGGTCTTTCCTCTGAGGAAAAGGGTATATTGAGACCCTGGTCAATCTCCCTTGTAATTCCCACTCCCTGCATACTTGAGTATTGACTTCCTATCTCCAATTTATCCATCCTTCTTTGCTTCTTCTCTTTTGTGTACTTGACCACCCTGGTTCCTATTGCACCTTCATGATTTAGCATTGCTTGAGAGGCTGCTGTGAAGTCTGTAGTGTCCATGCCCACAACCATCCCCACTAGATGCATCTGGGCCCAGTTGGGGGCTCATGATTCTTAGCTTACTCAAAGAACTTCCACTGGGACTGTAAATGTAGTTTGGGCATCATGAGGCATACTCATGTTAGATCATAAACTTTACAGCAGTTCAGAGGAAGAAATAGCAGCAAGCTGAGTGAGACTTGTGGTCAATCATAGTGAAGTTGCTGTAGAAGAGGATGGAAAAAATATTATTTTCTATTATGTCAACACCAAAAAAGGAAACTTAACTTTGCATGGGGTAAGAAGGAGGGGGTAGGGAAAGGATTCCTAGAAGAGGTTCTGTAGATTATAAAGAATGAATACAATTCAGTTAGACGAGAGGTGGACAGAGAGTGTAAAGAGGTGAGAGAAGGCATAGTTCAGACAAGGAAAAAATATTCATATTGCACATAAGCTAAAAGCAAAACAGTGCATGTCAGAAACCACAATATTTCAAAGTTAGTAGACCTTGAAGTGTCAAACAGTGCAAAGCAAGAGAAGAGATGGGAGAGAGCTCTGCCATAGAGCGTGGCCTTTATTCTCTAGGCAGTGTTGAGTCATTGAAGAGTGTAAGTAAGAAAGTGACAAGTTCAGATTGAAGTTTTAGAAGGATCACACTGTGACTAAAGGATTGAAGCATGGAAAAGTCAAGCTGAGCTGAATTGTTGTAAATAGTGGCGATTGCTTGAACTAGGGCAGAAGAGGTGAGGAACTGAGAGGACAGACTTAAAGAAAATATTGAAGACAAACTGGCAGGATGTAGCATGGACGATACGAGAGAGAGAAGGAGAGAGGAAGCACAGAAAGCAGGTAGGTGTAGGTGGAACACGAACAGATATGAATAATTAATTCAGGGTGTGAATAAGATTGTGGAGAAGAAGGTGGGCTCAGTTTGGGATATGTTATGTTTGAAACTGCCAATAGATGATCCAGGCAGGAGTTTCAGTGAATATATATATATATATATAATATTATATTATCTATATATTATCTATATACATAGAGAGAGAGAGAGAGAGAGGATATATACTCTCTCTTTCTCTCTCTCTCTGCAGCTTGTGGTGTGAAGGACTCTACACTACAGCCACAGACTCGCAAGTGTAGTTGAGTAGATACCATGAAGAATGCTTTAGAAATGAACAAGATCAGTAAGCCTACTGATACACCTAATAAAAATTACTGACTTGAAGGAAATATATTCTGTGAGGTATCACAACCTTTGTCTATTGGTTGACTATCCTGTGGTAGCGACCACCCATCTAGTAAACATAATCACAAAAAGTAGAGACCTGATGGAAGTTAGATAGACATAGTGTAATTCTTTCAATGTGTGGAGGAAAGAACAGAAGATTAGTTGATTTGTCAAAGTCATAAATATTTTTGTTAAAGAGCTAAGAGTAGAATCCAGATTTCCTAGCTCTCAGGGTGATGTCTTTTCCTGAGGTGGATACCCATTCTCTAACATAAACATTAGTGGGAGAATGTGCTTCTAATTTTTTCACAGAATCTTCAAGTTGAAATGTTCTATTCTATATTTAACTCATTATGTCATAAAACTGTTACTGGTTACTAAACATTTGGATTTTACTACCTGAATAGCTATAATAACTATAGTTTGTGTGTCTCATCATCAATTCAAAAGCATGCTCTATGTTGCCTGTTTATCCATACCACTTGAAATTACTTTCTAAAAATCATGATTTTACTTTTGCATACTGTTGAATGACTACTATAGGTTTCACTCCCCTTTTATTGTAAAGATGAATTCTGTTATGGGTCTTGATTTCAACTTGTAAATCTATGCTGCTATTGAATATTTGACAGATTTTCTTGAAATTCCACTTGCCAGAATCTGTGTTCTGAAAGGAAGTATTCCCCTAATTTGAGAAGCATCTAATGACTATCTCAGTAGATAGTCTCCATTACTTCTTTAACTTTCACTGCTATCCTATCCCCCAAGGCCCCTAAAATCAAGAATTTATGTTCAAAAAAGCTCTGGTAATAGTTAGACTTGAAGACTTAGACTTATAAACTGTGGTGGTTTGGATCTGACAAGAAGTACTTTGATTAAAAAAAACAAAATCCTAGGACTGCAGCTGTAGCTCTGTGGAAGAGCATGTGCCTAGTACATGTGAGGTCCTGGGTTCAATTCCTTAGCAGTGCAAAAAAATACAAATAAAAAACCCTCATTTACCTTTTTATTAAAGATAAGCAGCAGTTATTAACATCTAGACACTCTATATGACCCCATAAAATAAAGTGTTTCCCAAACTGAACTGATGCAATATTCCACTGAAGTCTGTCTGTTGTCTGCATTATTTCTTAAAACTACAGATAATGCTATTGAGTTAGGAACTCGTTTCTGTTTTTTTTTTAATTTCCTTCATAAAATTGTATCCCTTTGTGTTTAAAAAAAGTTGCTAAAATCTATTACTTACATTTTCTTACTTTTGGCCCTATGATCTTTAGTTGAGATCACTAAGATGTTTTTCTAAAAAGTGTCCATGTACGTGGTTCCCTTGTGCTCCAGAACAATTTCTACAGTATTTCTAGAACTATTTTCTATGATTCACTCCCCAGATAATCTTGTCCAACTCTGGTACACAATGTAACGCCTTAATGTTTTTCCACCTTCCACCGTGTTCCTCATGTAATTTCTTCTTTATCTTAGTTAACTTGTCATATTTTGAAACTAAAACTTCCTTTCTCAGTCTTTGTCTTTGCACTGTGCAGTCTTTTCTGACTGGATCATTTTCCCCTCTGCAACCTGTCAGTGAAAATTCACTCAATCTGCTGAGAGCATTCAAAGGACATCCTCTAGGAGCTCTTCTCAGACTTTCCCTTTCTCTCAGAAATATTCCTACTTTTCACATTGTTTTAGTGCCTCTACATTAATCAATAATCACAGGATTTGTCACATTGCATTAAGGTGACTTGGGAGAGTCTCTCTAGCTAGATCTTGCATTCCTTGAATTACTGGTTTGGTATTTCATATTCACTCATTGTTGTAAGAGTGTTTACCAGAATGTTTGGTACATACCAATCATATATGAAATATGTATTCATTGTGACTGAATAGAACCTTAGCATCCTGCTATTCTTCATTAGTGCTGAATATGTTATCAGGTTTGTGGTGAATCTTTCCTCTTGTTGGTGGATATATTTCTTTTGTCTTGTTACAACCAGACATTTACTAATAAATCACTATGTGTAGAGTATTTATGATGCACCAAGATCTAAACTGAAGAATTTCTTTCTTATTGTGTCCACGATTAGAGTGGATCTTTAAGTAGTCTGGTAGGGCTTTCCTGTCTTGTACCATGACACCACACTTTTATAGCATTAATTTTTCTTTTTTCTTTTCAAGATGTTTCTGTGGATTTTTCTTAACTCTATCCCCCATACCTTTTACTCTAATCCTATGAATTTAAGCTCTATGAGCTTTCTCTAGAATAGTGATCCTTGGATGAGGGCAATTTTGTCCCTAGAGGCCATTTGGCAATACCTGGAGACATTTTTAAGTGTCAAAACTGAGGAGAGGCTACTGGCATATAGTGGGTAGAAGCCAGTGATACTGCTAACCATCCCACAATGCCCAGGAGCAGGATATTTACAACAAAGAATTATCCAGACCAAAATGGTGCCGAGGTTGAGAAATCTATTCCAGAGAGTGCTGCTCAGATCACAGTTCCTAGCTTCTCCTGTGGACACCAGGAGTTGCTAATCTCTGCATTTCCTTCTAGGAGAGTATCTACCTTTGAGGTATTTCAGTGTTATGGTTCAGATCTAAAACGTCTCCCCAAAGTCTCGTGTGTTTGGAAGCCGAGTGGATCTTGGGGGCACTACATTCATCAGTAGCTTCATTCATTGATGAGTTCAGTGCTGACTGCGCTGCTCAGAGGTAGGGTCTGGTTGCAGGTGGGTCTTGAGGAGTGTGACCCGGAAGTGTGTATTCTCATCCCCAGCACCTCCCTTCTCTTTCTGCTTCCTGAGTGCCATATATTGAACAGCTTTTCTCCATCAAGCCATTCCACCATGCTGTTTCTGCCTTGCAGCCTGCTGCCATTGGATAGAAGTGCTGAACCAAAGTAAATGTTTCCTCCTTTAAGTTGTGGGTGTTGGATGTTTTGTCCCAGAAACAGGGAAGTGACTAAGACACTGACCAATAAAATAGACTAATGTCAGGAAAGACGAAGAGCTCTCAGCGGAAAGGACCAAAATCTGGACTCACTGACCAACTTTTATTCAAATCTCAAATCACAGACAGCCGAGAGGGTTCAGAAATAAATAAAGGTATAATAAAGGGATTTTGTTTGCAATTTTTCCCCACTACTCAGTGAATTGGTAGTCATTAAGGAAATGTATGATAGAAGAGATTTTAAAGAAACATGACACAATGCAGAGGCTGGTTTGAGTAAGGTACTAAGTTAATGACATACACCAAGGACTGTTTCTAGAAAATGGAACGAAATGAAAGTCCATAATGAGCATATTAATGACAACACTCCACTGCTGTCCTTCATGATGGAGTAAGGCTTGAAATTGCTATTACACAAGTGAGGGAAAAAGTGCTTTGAGTGTTCTGAATACAAAATAAAAGCAGTTGTTTCAGGAATCCCAGCAGGCTAGAGGAAAAGAAGACTATTAAAATGTGTGATCTTGGAAGAAATTGTTTCTGTAATTGACCAAGAAACTACTTATCAACCAACACTTGCCCTATGTACTTTAATCTCATAGCTTGGCACTTACCTGCAAGGTCACCGGGCCTGGCTGACTTCCATCCCACACTCCTGGAGCTATCATTTCTATAGGAGGCTCATTCTGTAATGTCATGCTGAACAGCATAGACCCGAGAATGGATTTTCTGCAAAAGACAACACATACAGACAGGAGTCACCCCAGAGGGAAGCTATTAGTATCTGTATCTGTTTCCTTTTGGAATGTAAGCATAATCAGCCATTTTTGTGGCTTCACTCAGTAGCTAGAAAAGATATATGCTATCCCACAAGCCCAGACACTGAATAATAGTTCAGTTCTTATACACTACATCCATTTCAATTTTCACAGATACTCACGTTTATTTTTCATGTGAGAAAACTGTTTTCCACAATGGTTTCTAACAGGTAGCATTTATTTGTAATTGCTGTCAATGGTGGTGACAAGGAGAGAACTAAGAACCTCAGATTTATATTCTTGGAATTATGGCTATTTCTAGTTAATAAAAATGTTAACTCTTCAGAGCATTATTTGTTCCATGGAGTGGCTAAATTCCCTGGGCATTTAAAGATATGAATTGTACATTTATAGCGAGATTTACATTAACACAGCATATGATCTGTGGAATCAAAATAGTTGTGAGAATTCACAGAGGAAATGTTCCTGCATGCATAAATGGAAAGATTATTCATTTTAAATACAGATATTTAAAAATTGGTTGTGAATTACCATAGTAAATGAAAGTGCATACAGGAAAGACTTTAAATATGGAAGAATTCATGGTTGCTACAGCTTTTGATAATATCAGAATCCACAGAGCTTTATATAAATTTGAATGTGAGGCTATACCTGTGAGTGTATATTAATCAAAATGTTGGAAAAATGTTCCAATGATCACCAAGAACAGGGTTTGATTTTAATATGCCAAACTGAAAATGTTGAGGTGAAAAGTAAGAAAATTAAATTCAATCTTATAAAGAAATTTAAAGCATCTTTTTAATGACAACATATAATTCTATCTTCCCATATAACAGATACTGTACAAACATGAGGAACCAAAAGGTCTGTCAAATAAAACTTTCTTTAGATTTTTCTTAAAATCTTTATTATCTTTATTAGTAGTTCCTTACCTAAAAATATTGTCAGAAAATATCTGTACAAGGGAATATATTTTGCCAACATTCTTAAGACAGATTTTTTGGGGGTACCAGGGATTGAACTCGGGACCTTGCACTTGTGAGACAGGCAGAAGCACCTCTGAGCTAAATCCCTGACCTTTAGACAGATTTTTTTTATGGTTCAAGAATATTCTTCAAGAAGGGGAATTGTGAGTCTTGTTTATTTCTTTATTCCTTTGTTCTATCCTCATCAGAAGAAACTTTTGTTTTGGATTGGTATAACAATGCCATAGGACCAGTATTAGTAAGATGTAAGTTGTTTGACACGAATACAACTTAGAAAATTATTAATGTTATTTTCCTTTTGCCTTTGAGAGTATATGACCTTTACCCAAAATAGCCTGGAATATCCACAAGCCTCAAGAAAGCTTTGGATTGGTGTCAGGCAGCATACACGAGAAGGAAAGAGCATGTCTAATGTCAGACCTGGAGGACTCAGGTCATAAAATTCTCTACAGCATTTAGAGAAAATATTTCCATCCATAACAGGTGGTAAGAAGGTAAGGAAGGATGCAGCAAGGAAAGGGAGGAAGAGGGAGGACGTGACAGAGTAGATAGAGAGTGAGAGAGAAGGGAAGCAGTTTGGGATCAAGGGGAGAAGACAGACAAAGAGAGAACAGAGTGAGCACAGCCTACGTAGTGTCCTGGTTTTCTTTCCCTTCTTCCTCCTAGGAAGCTGATGAAGTGTGAGACAGGAGAGCTTAACATAATGCTGAGCGGGATGGGCTCCTTTTCTCATTTCCTGTTTCAGATCCCGGACTAAAACTACTTCTTGAACCACTCCTGCCTCTATTTGTGGCAGGGTCATTAAACTTGAGGCAGAAGAAACTCCCAAGTTTAGGTTCATGGGACCTTCTCTGGTCTCAGAGTAGGTCAGTTGGGATCTACAAACAGCTGAAGATACACAGAAGGAGAGTTCTCAGAATAGGGTGGTGCTGGTGTGACACAGTGAGGAAGAGGGACTCATGATAAGGAATCTGGTTGGACTGAGCAGGATGGGGACAACCAGGAGTTACAGACAAGTGCCAGTAAGCCCCATCCAAGCTGGGAGAATCCCATTAGCCTGAAATATTCGTATGCTACACTAGCTGCAGACTTCAGCTGTGACAAGCAGTTTTGATTGGGATGTCAGAAGTCTCTAGGCCAAATGAATCTTTTGGGTTTTTTTTTCCCCCCTTCTTTTCTAACCCTGTGTATCTTTTCTTCTTCTTAGGAAGAAATCAAGTGTGAGAAAGCTGAATGAATAAGCATATTTATCAAAAAGAGACTGCATATTTCTGAAAGCACTATTAAAATAACTACTACTATGTCATGGATGGCCAAGTCTTTTCTCCTCATTAGTTAGAAGACTGGAGCTCATGAGGAAGAGTGTGATGTAGTAGTTGCATTTTGTCTTGATATCTAAGTTGTAGAATGTTTCATAGCTGTGGTTTTAATTTGTGTCTGGGCCACATGCTAAAATATCTAAGAGATCTAAGCTGTCTCCCATAGAAGAAGAGTCGCATGATAAGTATCTGCCACCTCAGTCCTTGAGTAGAATCTGCATTCATAGTCATCATGGCCTTCATTCTGAGCCATAGGGACTGAATGAAGTCAGAACATTTGATGTAGGGGTGTGTACGAGGGCCTACCAGGAAGTAGGTCACTAGAAAATGAACTTCTAGACCTACTTCTTGACATTATTGTAGATATGCAGTAATGTGTATTTGAAGGCCATTCAGTGGGGGAAAGAACACAAAGACTTGGCACCATATTTTTGAGGTGCACAGTATTAGCTAATTTTCTTTCCATTAATAGACTGTGCTTGAATATCTTTTTAGATATTGCAGTCTTAATTTCCATCAACGAGGAAGATGATTAGTGGAATTAGAATGTGAAAAGAATTCATCTAAGAGTGTTGGTGATCTTAGAAAGAAGATGGAAGTGGGAACTTTTAACACCAGGCAGGTAGGGAACTGCAGTAGTGGTTTATGTTATTACTAGTGGAAAAAGATTTATCATGGCAGTTAAAGTTAAACACACAAAAACATTATGGAGGCAAGCTTCACTTGAAAATATATTGGCAAAGACAATCTATAAGGACATCTGGATCCTATCTTCATTAACCAGCCTTAATTGCTGAGCTTCTTGCAGCTTCTTGAACAAAATTAATGGTTTCCAAAGAGATTTCATACAGCTTTCAGGTTCTGCTGGTGGTTTAGACTGGGGAGATTCTAATTAGGCTGGACCACAGGACTGAAATTCTCCTCACGCAACACAAACACAGATTATTCATCATTTTCCAATACTTTGAGTTTTTTTTATATGATGTTAAAAGAAAGAAAAATAATCATGGAGCATAACAATTCAAAATATTTCTTCCAGAATATTCTTAAGAATCTTTCCAATTTGAATATTTTACAAATTCATTGACTGAATATCCAACACAAAGTCTTTGATACCAAGAATACAGGTGGGCTGTTTTATACTCTCTGAGGCCCTACTTCCTCAAGCAATAAAATAAGGTGTTTGATGAAATAATTAATACTTTTAGATATAAGATTATATGGATCTATTGCTGGCCTTCTGGAACCAGAGAATAAGAAGACTTTAGAACTGGGACACTGGCAGGACCTGAGGATCTGATGATACAAAATTATTTGGGATTTTGACTCTGACTGATTTAGGCTCAAGTACAGAACACAGGTAAGGGTGAGGCAGGATCCCCCCACAGTGTCCCTGGAGTAGGGAATGGCTCCTAAAATAGGAAGTGAACCTGGTTAAGCTAGAAAGGGCTAGGGAGAGAAGTCAGATCTGCATTCTTGTTCTTGTTCTATTTAAAGTAGACTGATTTACAACAAACTTAACTTGCCTTTGTGATAGAGTTCTTCACCTGTAATTGAAGTATTTGGCATAATTGTGTTCTGAGGCTCTCTCTTGGGCCAGAAAGAAGGACAATAAAGAATTAAAGAAGGGCAATATTGTTTTGTAATCCAATTTTGTATATATATCCAAAAGGATTAGCTACTCCTGGGTCAGGGTTAGCAACTCAGGCTATTGTCTAAGGAATCAAACTGTTTTGGGATTAAGACTAATTTTAGGCCTCTTTCAAAAATTTTGCAGAAGTTTCTAATTTTCCCAGGTCTTTCTCATCATGGGAGTTCTGAAAATACTGATGCTCAGGCAAAACCACTAATCAATTAAATTAGAATCTTTGGGGATATTTGGACTTTAATTTTATAACTTTCCTATAAAATTCTATTGTTCAGTCAGGGTGGTGACTCTGTGTTGAAGCAGCTCACCACATTTTAGAAATGCTAAGTAACAGTATTTGTTGTGAACTTAACTTGGGGAGAGAGCTTGTGAAAATTGTTGAGCTGAGCATAACGCTTTCTTGCTGTAGTGTGGAGTCACTGTGAATATAGATACAGTGAAAGTCTTGTCCTCAAAAAAAGAAGATTATAAATTTTTGTTGGCCAAATTTTTCCTTTAGACTTGACTATTTTTCTTTATAGAAGTGTAAGTTTGCAAGCTTGAAAATGTAGAAGTTTATTTTTTATTTTTAGACATAATTGATGCATCTATAACTGATGTATCTCAGAATAATCACTGTTGCTTCTTTGGAAACCCTCTTCTGGAAACCAAGAAGAGATAGGCATATTGGAAGCATATTTTTAGGTTATATGTACGTTCGAAAAAATAATGACGTAAGTGCTTATACAGTTCCACATGACTAGCTATGAATGGTCAATTCAAATGGTACTAAAAGATTCAATACTAAATGTTTATGGGGAGGGGGTCATTGTACAAGTGGAAATGAAATTAAGATGCATTTTCTGTGATCTGGAAATATCGCATCAAATAAATTGAATCATAATGCCTGTAACTGGTCGCAATGAGCAATGTGGGAGTCAGTGCCTTTCCCCAACTGCCACACATGACAGACTTCTGAGGTCTTACGAATGCATATTGAAATACTCCTTGAAGTAAGTCATGTTTTCTGATATCACTTCCACTTTTGAAAGCTTCCCTTACAGAACTGTCACTTAGGATCAGCCCCAAATGGCACCCCTCATAGATGCTCACGTTCCACCACCTGCTTATGAAATGTTTACCAATGGTAACTTATACATGGCAAAACAACATGATGGCAGTAGTTTTACTATCACACCATCCCAAAAGAGCTTTGACAATTAGTTTGAAAGACAAAAATATTCCTGACTTATTATATAGTTAATATATATTGATATGTGCAAAGTAGTGTATTTGAGGATGAGAGAATAACTAGAAATATTATTCTATAAAAATGCTAGATCTTACAAACACGCCAGTTGAGACAGGAAAGAAATTCACTCATGAGAAGGAAGGACCCCTGTATAGTTGCTCCTAGTGAGAAAGTAATGAAAGTTCTTAGCACACAAATCAGATTTTTGATATGTCTGCTAACAGCAGTAGATATTTATTTTAGGGATAATCTCTTTCTTGTAGACCTTTTAAAATCTTTCATTCTAAACCACCTATAGGGATTGATTTTTTTTCAATTTAATTTAGTACACAAACCTCTATTGATTGCCTATTCATAGGAGACATTATGTTAGATGATGGGCATTACAGAGATAAGTACATGCCCTGTCCTTAAGGAACATATATATGGAAAGGGGCTAAAGCAAGAAATCTAGTGATAGAACCACACACACACACACACACACACACACACACACACACACACAAACACACCCTAGATCAGAATTAACCCAACAAAGAAAATCTTTAAGGTTTATCATGGTCGCTTCAGTGATTATTTACATTGACTAGGTGTTGGAATTCAAATGATCAAGAGTTTTCTTAACATTTTTACATTATCAAATCTGTTTTAAGCAGCAAAGGCAGAAATATATTTTATAACAATATTTACATAACTATATGGGTTATAATTTTTTGAAGATTCTGAATTTTGTCATTTGATTCTAAAGCAAGTCTTGGGTGAAAAGCTGGCATTTCTGAAACATTTTTATCCAAATAACCTAGAGAATCATTAATTACCTAATCAAGTAGCCTAAGTATTAACTGTTCCTAAGAGCATGATTAAAGCAATTTTTCAATGGTCATTAGTTCTGAGGGAATATCTGAGCTCATAGTTGGTTTACTTTCCTGAAAAAAAAAATCACCTTAAAGTTATCAAATATTTCTTCTTGGCAATAAAAGTCAGTAAATCAGTTTCACTATGTAATTTTGCCTGCATCAGAATTTCATGACTTATACTTTTTCTAAATGACTATAATAATCCAAATCATTTTGAATTACTAATTCCAGAGAAATTGGCTGGTCAGAGAAGAAGAAGTAATTGAGACTGGTCATGCCAATACTTTGTCATTGTAATGACCTAGCTGACAAGCTGAGCATGAGGCCTGCTTCTAAAGCCATTTCTACATTTTTACTTTTCAGTTCTGCTTTTAATCATCATAATTTATTTTGAGATATCTCATTTTAGAATAAAATGTATTCTTGATTCTCTCATTATGCCACATCCTGCAAAACATTTAGTTCCAGTAAGGTTTTATTAAGATGGGAGTTTTATAAATCACAAATGATACACATACTCTTTGGGAAACAATGGAAGACAGGTCCAGGCCAATAATTCTGCACTGTTGCTTGTACAGCCAATCCCAAACACTTTTATTGTTAGCATGGATTCCCTCGGGAGTGATTTTGTTTCAAGAGGAAAATTGATCCTGAAAATAAAAAGTGGTAGCATTATTTTTCCAATTACAGTAACATTTTATAAATATTTTCTGATAACATAATAGTCTGGGACAAAATCATTTAACTACTAGATTTGCAATATTGTCTCCAAATTTTTGGTTTAATCTTATAAAAAATGGAAATTTAATTGATACAGGGTAATGATTCATTATGGGTTTTTTTCTGGCACCGGGGCTCAAGATTCATTATTAAATAAATGAGTCATACTCATAATTTTGACAACTAAATTCATTTTTCAAAAATTATGATACCTTGAGTACTTAGCCTCAATTTATTGTAAGCACAGAAGAAAGAATGACTAAATTTTTGTTAAGGATTTGGAGAAGTAAGGAAATAACTAAACTGGGTCTTAAAGTGTAAGTCAGGCAGGTTTTAATGAGATGGAGATTTGGAAAAGAATATTCCAGGGAGAGAAAAGTGCACAGACAAGGGCATGTCTGCATAAAAAGACTAGGTGTACCTGGAAAATGGTGAGTGGCTCATTGTACATAGAACAAAAGACGAGGTCAAACTGATAAGTAGAGGAGCCAATTAGAATGAGATGTTGCCAGGATGCTGAAGAACTCTGGATGTCAAGCAAAAATATTTGAACTTTTCCCTAATGGCAAAAGGAAATATTGGAAAGAAAGAGCTAAAGCTGAACAGAATTGTTTACAATCTTAAATTTGGACTTTCCCAGTTAATGATGAGGTCCAGGAATTTGAAGGATGATCACTGAAATATGATACATATACAATTCCTGGATATGTGAAAACAAAGTAAGTGTTTTCAGGTCCTGAGCACATTGTAGATCTTGGGAAAAATAGAAGTGGGTAAGGATAAACTGGATTGCTAATGCTTAGAAAATCTTAAGTTTGGTTGTTGAAGCCATCCATATAGTGGGACAGTGTTCAGAAGACTAGAAATAACACATACATGATATACAAGATTGAGTGAGGTGTATGTTCATGGAATGAGTGGCAAAGAAGAAGTTTTTGACAGAAAACTGAGATTGTGACCTGAGGTCCCACTCCATAGGCAGGGAAACAGGTACTTTTGTTTCTTTTCTCAAGTCATCTTTGTTGTGTAGAAATGACTGGGTTCGTGAACATGAGCCTCAAGAGAAGCACGGTATTTAGGAAAGAATTATTTATGAAGCAAAGAGGCAAAGTAAATATTTTTAAAGGCTGAGATAAGAGAGTATGTATGTCAAGAAGAGGGAAATGCTAGGGAGAAATAGGAAATTCAAACAAAGGTTGGCAGAGAGGCAGAGTCACAGGAAGTGCCTCATCAAGGAATAGGAAGCAGAAAGAAGAAGGTGACTTGAAGAGCAACCAAGTAGTTTGGTATCCATTGTGAGGAGTATGAACAGAGCAGAACCTACTGGTTTTGTGATTTCCAATTTGACTATGATGTCTGATTGCTTAAGTAGTAGGTGATTATTAGAGGACTGAGATGACCAAAGTCTGCTGTCCTTTGGAAGGCAGTTCGTCCTGCTAAGGGACCAGGTAACACTGAGAATCTTCTCACACTAGAAGTTGGCTTTCTCATCTGGATACCAGGGAGAGTCCTTACTCAGGTTCAAATGGAACATCAGTGCTTCTTTCTTTTAGTTCCTGTACAGCATCCAGCCTTGGTAGTGAGGGAAGCTCAGCCCAGTAACCATAACTGACTTGGAGGAATTACAAATCTCTCTGTTCTATATGGTGTTCCCTCAGATAAATGGGTCCAGATTCAGGAATACAGCAGCAAACAGGGGGAGAGAAAAGAGAATTATTTTAGAAATAAAATGGATAACTGATACTTGACTATCAGCACAGTAGTGAGAGAGGACAATGAAGAATTAATGGTGAATTCTAGTCTCTAAATTATGATATAGCTGGTAATTTTAACTGAAAGGAAACACAAGAAAAAGAAAGTGAGAGTGGAAGTAATGTGTACAACTTAGGGTGTGATATAATTGAGTTAATAATAACTGTGAAATGTCAACATATAAGTGGATGGGGAGAGGGTGAGTCTGAATTTGTTCTTGAATATTAATGAAAATGACCCTGTTGACAAATAAGATGTTCCTCCTTAAACATTATATCCATTTAACTTTTTTTCTAAGCCCTATTTCTCCTTACCATAAAATGAAACTACCATAATATAGCACAATATGTGGCAAGATGTAGGTAGTAGATTAGCACTCCATTAATGTATTCACTATATTTAATGTGATTATTTATATTAACTATTGTGCAGATTTATTTAAAATATTTTTTTTGCACACATATGACACACAAAAGTAAGGGAGGTAAGTAAAAGAAAGACTGCAGTGAGGAAAATCTTCCATATTTTAAGATTGGCAAAATCTAGATTTGTTAAAATGTTACATATTAGGGATTTAAGACTAAAATCTTTTCTACTCTTTCATACTTGTAATATTCACTCAAGATAATATAGATGTATTTCTTGACATAAAGGAAGCTTCAAAATGTGACATAAAATCTTGATGATATTATGAAAAGCACAGTAATTTCTTGAATATTCTTTTTACCTAGAATTGACTTTCTATTAGATTTTCATATTTCTGCACCAAAATAGAAGCTGTAATTTCATTTTATTCTTCACATAATCTAGAATGTTCTTTTTTCTTCATTAAATATGTCTTCTTTATATATAACTTCACTTGCCAGCAAAATTAGATAAGTTACAGTTGATAGCTACTGCCAAACTCAGTCCTTTTATATTTATTAGTGAAAAAATAATGTGGAAAGAATGCATGTTTTCTAAGTAGTTATTTATTCATCTTTTAAATATATATGTTTTTTTAAAGTCAGAATAATCTCACATTCATTGGAAAATCTTTTTTAAATATCTGCATGGATACTTAAAAACAAAAGGAATAAACTTTTGGGATAAAAAACAGCATAAAAATACTTCATAAGAGTGAGATTGCCCCTTTTTTATCTGAAGAATAGGCAGAAACCTTGAGTTTTAACCGTAAGTTTGCCTTACCTATTTAAAAATGAATAACCAGCAAATTTTTTTCTATATGATACAGTCTTTCTAAAATCAGAGTAAGTCTTTGATAATGAAAATGAGGGTATCTAAAGCTGTATTGCTTTGAACTTCTACTAATGGCCACTGCAAAGAGTTTGACTTTTGTATGACTGCAACAGGAGAAGAAGTCATTTCTGGATTTTTAAACAGAGGACTTTGAGACTTGACTTACATTGTGAAGACACCACTTGAACTGTGTGAGAAGGACTATAAAGGTGCAGTAGAGTGGGAGAATATTAAAAGTCTACTGTGGTCATAGAGGAGAGACATTAGGGTAGCTTAGACCAGTGGAGGAGTAAGAAGTAATACATTGCATATGTTTTGAGGAGAACACCAATAGGATTTCCTGGACATGGGATGTGAGAGAGAACATCCGGGCTATAGATTTTGAACTGGGCAATTAGAACTAGAAGTGGACATCCAGAACAGCCATCCATGGGTGGAGCAGTTTGGAATGTGAGACCAGGAATTCAATGTTAGACATATTGAGTGTACAGTGTGTAGTCTGTAACTGGAGCCTGGGGTGGTGACATAGGTTTGGGAGTTGTTGACCTGTAGATGGCATTTAAAGGTATGTGGCTGTACAAGAAACCTATGGAGTAAGAATTCATACAACAGAGAAGAGAATTAAAGGTTAAAATCATAACTGGTGAAGAACAAAAGGAGATGGAGAAAGAAAGGCCAATGAAGTAGGAGTAAGATAAGTGTGGTGTAAATTTCAAGACAGAGCATGATATCACCAGTACCAAATGATCCTGATGGTCTCATAAGAAGAGAAGTGAGAACCAAGCATTGAATTTAGGTTTGCAGGGGACTTGTGATTCTGATCAACAATTTCAGTTTAGCAGAAGTGATGAAGGCCTGATGGGAGTACGTTTTAGTGCACAGGGAAAACTCAACAAAAAGTAAATTCCCTTACAAGGTCATGCTATAAAGCAGAGGAGTATAATAGGATGGCTGCAGGCAGGAGAATGGGATGTGGTTGAGACTGGTTTTTGTTGCTGTTGTTTGGTTTTTAACTTAAGATGTTGAGCACTGTTCATGAGATATAAAAATACATGCTCCAAGATTCTGCATGTTGTAAGAAACAATATGTAAGCTGTGCATAGTGGTGCACATCTTTACGTTCAGCACTTGGGCAGGCTGAAGCAGGAGGATTCCAAGTTTAAACCCAGTCTGGGCAATTTGGGCACTTAAGAAGACCTTGTCTCAAAATAAAAATTAATAAAGGGCTGGGATGTAGCTCACTGCAAAGGCCCTGGATTCAGTCCTCATGATAAGAAAGAAAGGAAGGAAGGAAGGAAGGAAAGAAAGAGAAAGAGAGAAAGAAAGAAAGAAAGAAAGAGAAAGAAAGAAAGGAGAGAGAGAGAGAGAGGTAAGGAAAAGAAAAGAGAAAAGAAAAGATAACGTATGTGACATGCCAGCTAAGGAGTCAGGGTGATTTTAAAGTTAGTTTAACAATCTGCCAGTTATGAAGCATGGGGTAAGTTAATTAAGATTAATAAATGTGGAGTTCCTGTTCTGTAAAGTGGGAATGACAATGTCTGCTTCATATTTTCTTTGTAAATTGGGATGAGATAATATACTTCAATGATGTAATACGATTATTAGAATATAAAAGTCAAAATCTATCTTATTACTAAAGCACAAAGTTTTTATCATCAAATTTACAGTCGTAATAAAATATACTGCCAATTATACTGTAACAAGAACATGTTAATGAAATACAAAAAGAATGTCACAGGTATCTTATAAAATAGTAAATATATTTAAAAGAAATAAAATAAAAAATATTTCTAGGATGAAGTAGTAAACTACTGGAGGAATGAAAGAATCTTTCATAGAAAAATAATACTGAGCAGTCTTAAAGAGAATAAAAATATGGTTTTCTAAAACACCAATTATTTTAAATTTATTTGGAGATGTTTCTCTATGAAATTGGTTTTAGAATTAGATGAATTATCTACATGATAGCATGAATCTGAGTTGAAAATGAATCCAATTTTTCAAAATAACTAAGTAATTTTTAGTTAAATAAGAATAATTTTAGCAATTGAGCTGGCCTATAACTTTTTTGTTTTGTTTTTTTGAGACAAGGTCTTGCTATGTAATTTAGTAGTTTAGGCTGACCTTGACTTCACTATGTAGCCCAGGGTGGCCTCAAACTCACTGCCATTCTCCTGCCTCAGCCTCTTGAATGCTGGGATTACAGGCATGTGCCATCATGCTCTGCTAATCTTTTTTTTAAGGAGACATTTGTTACACAAAATTCATTATTGCCCAACAATATTTACTGGACTTTTACTCTGTCTTGTGGTGTTTTGGCAGCTGAAGACTGAATGATGTTTTTAAAAATAAACTTTGCATCATTTGTAAAAACAGATAAATAAAAATGAACACATCAAAGAAGTTACCATTACAGAAAAGTTCAGAGTCAAGATATTTGACGTGTTTATACAGGAGGTGGAAGCTACCTAGGTGTTACCAAGGTGGGCAAGTAGAATAATTATGTTTCTAGCAAATGGAGGACCTGACACAGGTGTGATTTGTGGGTTCATAGTAGAACAAATAGATCAGATGCAGACTGGGTGCAGGGGAAGGGAATAGGGCTAATTCTAATGAATGAAGGTACAGAGATAAGTAGGATCAAGCCATACAAGCCTTGTGCTCTATGCTCTGATTTGTACTTTGTCTTATAAGAATTGAAAAGCCCCTGAAGAATTTTACAAGCAGAACAGAGTCTGTAATAAGGGAAAAGTATAACATAATTGATGTCAGGTCTTTGGTCAGAGGAATTAAGAACCTTAAGCAAAGAGGGAACATAGAGAGGATAAAGGTCATAGAACAAGGAGGATTTGGTTTTGGATGGGAAGGATAGTGATGTATGTGGAAGTGAACGTCACCAGCCATGTCTCAGGACAGTCTCCATTGAGCATGGTGACAGTAGAGGAGCTAGGTGGTGGTGTTCTAACACAATTCTCTGACTCCTAGGATTCTGATTCATATTTTCAATGAGACTTGGAGCCAAGTTATCTTCCAAGAAAGACAGATCTGAAAGAGCTGAAGGCGAAAGCACTGGGAAATTTTCTTCCAACTGACAAAGGAATAAATTTGGTCCTCATCAGTGATGTAGTGGAGATCTCAGAGAAATAACTGGCTAAGAACCAGTGGATCAGCCATAGGAGTGGCAAGGAAAAGCAGTGATGACTGTGGAAATGCCATGGATGGGGCCCATGAGTCCCCTGAGATTATGCACGAGGATAGAACTTGACTTGGGCAGGGGAGGAAGGGGAGGTGAGGGCAGGAATAGTGCTAAGAAGATTCTTGACAATTTTGACTTAACAGATCTCCACAGGAGGAAGAAATAGGAGTCAATCATTCCCAGGTAGGTGCAAGTTTACCCAATATATGGATGTTTACTGCTAAAGAGCTTGTGACAAATATTTAATTAACTTGCATGAGAAAATGGAAGTTACTTATTAGATGACTTCTGTACTGTATAGGGACCTCCCCATCCCAACTCAAATACAGAGAATTTCTGATTTCTATTGGATGTGAATGATTAATAACTCCCTTTTCCAATTTCCTTTTTCACTCAGTTCAATAGTATGGATTGGACACTTGTCTAGGCTTTTAAATGAACTTTTTAATCTGTTGAATTAACAGCCACTTATCTATTAGTACTACCATATTTGTCACACCAGGATATCAAGTCAACTAGCAACATTTTAAAATCACTCCTGTTGCTTAAAAAAAAGAAAAAAATATAAAGCTGATTTTTACTAGAGAAATGATCCAGCCAGAATAAAGACTAAACTTACGTTTCATTCCAGTTGACCAGTAAAAAAAATAATTTTTTGACCGGAATATTTCTGTAGTTTCTCACTTGGCACAACTTCTTTCCAGCATATGTAAGCCAACAGGAAAACAAAAATGTTTCATAGCTAAAAGAAATAAAATCGATTCAGTAAACTTAACACATTGAAGGAAATAGCTTTCTAACTGGGTCAGTTATTTTTATAGTCAAAAGTCAAATGATAAAGTCATGTTTGCTTGTGTAAAGTGCGCTTTACAAATTGCTTTAAGGATTTATGTTGAGCATGTCAGCAAGACTGCAGAATAAGAAGCACCAATATCTTCCTGTGCCCACAGCAACAACAATTCAACAATGCATGGCTAATTCCTTTTGTGAGGAATCTAGAAGCCAGTGAGGAGGCATCTCTAGCCAGCTTGAGTATAAAGCCAGCCCCATCAAAGCCAGTAGGGAAATGCATGGTGTGATTCACTTGCCAGAGTCTCTCTCTGGCCCAGTGTGGCATCACGGAGGAAACTCTTGACTCCTGGTTTTCCTCTGGGGAGAAAAAGAGAAGGCTGGAAGTTCCATCTAACTTCAGTAGCCCAAGGGAGTGGTTTCTCCCTTCCTTGCATCTAAGTTTTCACAGGAAAGGAACTAGTTTGGGGGCTGCTGAGAGCAAAGACACTGGTGTGAACTGGTGATATTCATCGCCTCTACCCCAGCTCAGCATAGAATGAATGGGTAAAACCCCAACTCACAAACTCTTTGACTCCTCAGTTTATTTAAAAATACATATTTGAGTTTACAAATACATTTATTCATATGAATTTTATTATCAAAATCAAATATAGTCACATTGTAGAATATGGGTGAGATCTCCATTTACAGGTTATTTTAAATTTGTTTGGACTTGTTTGACAATATAGTTTTTGGTCACTTAAAATATATGTCCTCCATTGAAAGAACTTGTACTTTTAAATTCTTTCCAGTAGAGTACAAGATATATATTTATTGGATCAAATTTGTTAGTTGTCTTGGCTCCGTATTCCATGTTTGTCCCCAAATTGCCTCATTAATTTATTAATTCCTGAGAAATGGTGATATCACCTGCCATGATAGTAGTCCATCAGTTTCTTCTTGGATTTCTGTCAATTTTTTAAACTCTCTTACTTCTTATTGGGACTCACATATTTTACTACTATGCCATGATTTTATATTTAATAATGCTCTTTGACTCAAGAGTCCATTATGATTGTCTATATACCAATATTTGGTTGGTGTGTGCACAGTATTTATATTAAGAGGTATTGTACCTGTCTTCCACACATTCCTTGGGATGGTTATACAAAAGCCAAGTTTATCTATGAGACTTGAGTGAAATGAATGAAAGATAAATCTAGACTGTACACATGTACTTTTGATAGTTAAGTGTGACTATTAAGTTTAATAGTCAATTTGATTGACTTGGTAGCTTCCTAGGGGATCAGTAAAGCACACTTCTGAGTGTGTCCGGAGGGATCATGGAAGTATGACTTTGGACTCTATATCTGATCCTTGGCCCCTTCCCCTGTACTCTGCTTTCCAGCTACCATGAAATGAGCAGCTTTGCTCCACCATGCCCTTCTGTCATGATGTTTCTGCTTTGGAATGAATTACCATGGACTGAACCTTCTGAAACTATGAGACAAATTTAAGCTTGGCTCTTTTCAAGTATTTTTGTCCCAGCAACAAGAGTGCTAATATGCAAAGGTATGCTGGGCTGGTGGTCCCAAAGCCCAAGTATGTATCTCAGCTATAATGTCTTCTTCACTCCCTGATGTGCCTTCCTTTACATCTGTCACTTCTTCACATGTTCCAGCTCAGCTTCTGTTTCTGTCTTTGACAATAATATGATATAGGCTAAGTACTCCTCTCAGCCCCAAAGTAACAATCTCAAACCAAGTTTTTAATTAATATTATGAGAAATTTAGGTTTAATATGAATGGGTGCTTAATCACTATGATGAATCACCAAAAGGATTTGTTCAATCAGATGATTGTAAGATATATCTTCATTTGTCTTTTATAGCTTCCTTAAGGCCTTTCCTGAAGGCAGAGTCATGGAGTAGATCATAACTCAGTTTCAAATTCATCAACTATTTATTATTTTAGAGTTCTGTGGCTTAACAAATTAATTCAGTTCACTGCCATTAGATCTAGTCATTATAGCTAAAACCAGATAAAAAGTTGTCAATTTGCTATCTTTCGCACCAGGTTTGTCAGTACTTATGCTTCTGGAGATGGCTCTGGCTTACGTTCTTCCTTGCTGTTTCTTCCCAGGTGTGGCAGCCTGCTTGCAGGATGGTCTCCAGTGATTCTGCCCCCTGGTTTTCAAACCCTTGTACTATGTTTTCCCACAGGATACCAATATGGCAGAAACAATGGTTTATCCCTTCCAAAATTAGGTTACAAAAGACTCCCTCTTTTGTCTTTGATAGTCCCTTCCCCATGAACTTTGTCTCTCCTTGATGGATCTTTGCTCTGTGGAAGCCAACTGCTATGTCTCAAGGACATTCAAAGACAGTTCTGTGGCAGGGAATTCCCAAAGCTACACACTGTGAAGAGATGAGAAATGCCAACAAGCTTGTGAGTGACCTTGGAAGTGGACTCTTCTGCTCAGAGAGTCTTGAGATGACTGTGGCCTTAGTCAACAGTTGGCCGCAACTCAACAGAAACCCTGAGCTAGACCCATCCAGCTAAACTATTCCCCAGGCTCCTGACCCTCACAATATGAACTCACCAGTGTTTGCTCTGCTGAGTTGCTAAATCTTGGGGTAATTTTGTTTGTACCAATCAATAGCTAGGTCCCTAGGGAAACTTGCATGAAGGATACAATTTGTCACCAGGTAGGACATCTTCCTGGGACCTTATCCCAGAACTTATAAGGCTGATTGGTCAACGGATTCTTTAAGAGAATAGTGGTGTCTTTTCCTCTGTCTCCAGCTTTGGTTTTATAGTTTGCTCCTCTAATAAGTGACAGGTGTAATTTTGTTTTTTCTATCAACATTCTCATTGATTATAGAGGCGTTCAAAGAAAATTATTAGTTTATTCTATAATTTTATATACATAAATACAAGTCTGCCTATGTTAATAAGTGTGAAAATGTTTAAAATCCTCTCAGTATTTTTACTCTGCATATAGGAATTATGTAGAGAAATATGAAGAAAGAGGGCTCGATAGACAGTTCATACAAATACAGACTGCATTTTCAATCTACTCATGCATTTTACATTTACACATATATCTTTATCTATACACATATATATCTATACATATATATATGTGTTCTATACATATAACTTTATATGTATTTACCTAGCTACAATGTTTTTTCCATGTGAACTAAAATTAAAGAATACATATTGATGGTTAGAAAACTTTAAGAAAATATTCATTAGAGTAGGAATTGGTAATAGTATATGTTAGCCTTTTAAAATTCATCATAAAATTAAGAAAAGGAAAAGATCATGAAAGTATCATACCCCGAATTCTAAAAAAATGTGTGTGGTACTTTTTAATAGATAGGATTTCCTTTAAAAGCTAATAAATATTTATATAGTCTAAAAATACTTACTAAACTAAAATTATTTATCTTTACTGAAATATTTTGTTTTTATTTGAGATGCCAAATGTAAAAGATACAACATATTCATTAACAAATATAGTTAGTATTCTATCAACTTTAATTAGTATTATAGATATAACCTATACAAATTTTAAATTTTTTATGAGATGTTACCCTAATTATGGTATTAAAAATGACATAATAATGTCAGCTCACCCCCAAACCCAGTGATTTCCATGTATAACTGTCATTCATTTTTATTAAACCTCAAAAATCCTTGGCTGATTTTCCTGATCAAAATACTAAGCTCATAAAATATCTACCACTATAACTGATGAGAATCAGGGTGAGTTTTTTTTCCTATTTTTAAATATTCTTCATCTCCCTGTATGTATGTGTATGTTTCTCTCTCTCTCTCTCTCTCTCTCTCATCTTCTCTTAATTTTCTTTCCATTAGCATTAGTCAATTAAATCTAAACAAGAAAAAGAAAATTTTAGGGCAGCCACTGCACAGAATGAATATTTTGTATTTCTGTAATGTTATATTGACAATAGCAACTAGTTTTAATACAAAGAGTGGAAGGGGGAAGATAAATGCCTATTGGAAATCTGAATTTTTAAATAGTGGTTTTAAGAAATTTCAAAAATTCTATGAAATGCTTGTTCCTGTAAATAATAACAAGCTAACTAACATCCTATCAAATTAGAAGTTATAGGTAAAGTAATCAACCCTCGTGTGAGAAGTCGCCCTCACCTGTGCACCCATGGCTCTGGGATGTTGTGCATCGCTGACACCGTAAAGCTGAGGTGGGAATCTAGCCCGGGGTGCACCGGGGAAATGCTTCCGGGTGCACTCACCGGCTGAAAATCGGCGTAGAAGCTGCTGCAGTAGATGCCAATTAGCTGGTAGATGGACATGGATAGTTTAGTTGTCACTTTCTCTATAAAGCCTAGGGGAGAAAAAGAGATCAGGAAGTCTCCAAAGGGTCATATTTATCATAAACTACCCATTATAGTTTTGGAATTTCTTATGATAAAATTTAATTAAAATGACCTTTTACCAATCAAAGCCAATCAGCCATCTGCTCCTCTGAATGCAGTCTGCTTACTTGCAAGTAGATTAGATATCAAGATGCTTCCATATATTCCTTAGAAAATTTGAAAGCATGCTTCTGAATCACAAATTGGAGGTTCTTTTTAGGATTAACTTGGCATTCTGATCAATTGTAGTTTGCAGTAATTTTGTTCTAGTTTATGGCTATTAAGAGTTAATTTTCAGATAGACATTTTGTACATAGCTTACAAATATTTCAAACAAATTCGATCTAAACAATTAATCATAATAAATTTGATTATGCTCTGATGTTTACCACTAACTAAACACTTTTTATACACTGTGGTGATATAAGAAGAAAGTGATAAAAGCCCATGGCTGGAGTGTGAAACAAGTTTGAAATGAAAGGTTTGTGCCGCTTACCGAATCTCTTCAAAATCAAAGTGTTTATTGAATTTCACCATTAACTGCTTAAAGGGAATCTATTCCTGTGTTTCCCCGAAAATAAGACCTAACAGCCTATCCTTGCCTGACCTGCCATTACAGAGCAGCCACTGAGCAAGACAACAGTGAGGCCATCTTCTGCAGGACACTGGCTATCACCATGGTAACGACCAGCTAGGGTTTATTTTCCAGTTAGGTCATATTTTTGGGGAAACACAGTCTTAAAGTAACTTGCCATGAAGGAAGAAAAATGATATAGAAGCTAGTAGTTTTCCCCTAGTAACTGAGGAGATGTTAAGAGAACAAACACATCACTAGATATTACATTCTTAAAATATGCTGGGGTATGATGCTTTCATCATATGCTGACCAAGTCACCAGCCACCATTATTTATTCAAAAGCACACAGCTTCCTCATACACTGCTTCAAAAACGTAAGTGGTTTTTTGGTTTCTAGTTGCTTTGAAAAGAAAATGGTACAAAGAGCTAGCTTTTTTTCCCCTCAATGGTGTGCAGTGTTCTCCAGCTGAGGTCTGTGGGTACCACCCGGAAGCCAGCATCAACATGGAGCTGCTTTCCACACCCAGTTCCTCATCAGCTCTATCGACAATTAAATATTTTTGTTCAACACGTGCTATTATTCACTTAGTTATTCATACATTTGTACAAATTGAGGAGATACACCAATTTTACTTATTTGCTATATTTCTTAAATGATACCCTTTGTTGCAACAGCTTGTGAGGGGAAGCACAGTGAAAGAGCTATAATTATATTTCACTGGGAAATCAGCAGTAGCAACTAATGAAGCAGAAGAGGGAAGCAGCATAAAAATAGTTTTGAAAGACACCTCATCAAACTCTGGAGGCCAATGAATAGGGACTTTCCTGAACCACAGGAGGCAAAAAATTATAAATTTACAAAAACATCTTGTTTCTCAGTTCCCAAATTATACTGCTGGTGCTCTGAGTTGGGAAGCACGAACTTCCAGTCAAAAATTCCCGATCTTGGGCCGGGGATTAGCCTGCTGCGCAAGCGCAGGGACCTGAGTTTGATCCCCGGTACCAAAAACAAAAAACAAACAAACAAACAAAGAAAAATTCCCGACCTTGTGCAAAGGTGCCCATGAATACCCATCTAAAATATATTATAGTGCTCGCTTCAGCAGCACATGTACTAAAGTACATTGTAAAGTTGGGTTAGAGATCTTTTTAGTTCAAGGCCTGTAGGTATTTCAGTGAATTCTCATAATTTTGATAATCCCTTAAACTCCACTCTATATGGAAAGACAATTTTTGGTTATCCTTTGCTTCTTTGAAGTTGCTTAGAGATATGTGCATATGCATTGTACTTTACTTCTAGAATTCTGGATGAAGATATATTTCACATGACATCAACAAAATGTATTAAGGACTCAAGACCCATGGGCTAGAAATATGTTGAAACAATGTTTACCACATCTGATTTTATTCTGAGAAAATAATGATTATGCCATGAAATAAATCTTTCTATGTATATGTGTCTCTCTATATATGTAATTATAATGTGCTAACTAGAATCTGTTGTGATTTTCATAGCATATAAGTCTCCAGGAACAGTCCTGTACATTTTGACAAAGGCTCACGCTCCAACCCTTTGAGAAATGATGGGAACAGGACATCTCTTTACATTTACATCATTCCTGTTAAGTGAAATAAGTTAGACACACAAGTTCAAATATTGCATGGTTTCTCTTGCATGAGAAATAATATACAGATATAGTTATATAGAAGATATGGATATATAGGTAGATATAAATGAGCAAAACACAAGAGAAATAGGAAGTAGGAAGAAGTTCATATACTTCCCCAAATTACATATTTTAAAATATTTCAATATATATGCTAATTTGTCTCATTTATACTACTAGTTTATCTTAGTTTGTTGAAAAAAGTTTGGGTTCTTATCTGTTTCTTTCTTTGTCATAAGTATCTTTTCGGTTTACATCTTCTACTCTTCTTTGAAGATAACACACAGCGTATTAACTATTGTTATTCTCTTACTGTTATGAAAGTTTGTTTTACATTTTCTTAAAATAAAAAGCATGTTCAAAACAGGAAAGAAGACCAGGCCAGTTCCGGTCTGCACACCTCCAGCTGTCTACTCCAGGCACTGTCACATAGACTCTTGGTAGGAACGCTGTAAGGGATGTCACCCTTCTAGTCCTCTATGGTGCTCCACAGTTCCTGAACACTAGAATAGACACTTATGCACCAACTCAGTTGTTTTTCCCATATCCTCTGGCACCCCATTATCTTCTGTGATGGGAGGTGGGGGCGTTCCTCAAATACAATTGAATGCCCACTTTCTTTCAAGTGGCGAGAATTAGAATGGAGAGGATATCCATCCCGCTGGACACATTTATGCCCAGTCCCTTCCACATCCAAAGGTATGAGGCCAACATCTGGAGCCCGTCCCCACTGCTTGTGCAGACAGCAGCAGCCCTGATCTACCTCACCTTTCACGTATCTTAGGACAACTGTAGATTAAAGAATTGGGTCTGGGATCATGGAATTAAGAAATGGCAGAGTTGAAACTCAAGACCAGTCTTGCCTGATTTGAAGTCAGGCTCTCCTTTACACCACATGACCACATACTCACTATTTCTGTGGAAGTGAACTCCTCCTGCAGCTTGCAATTTCACAAGCCCAGAGCCCCCTGTAAACACTAATTATTTCAGAACATAATCCTCCTACCTATTATATAAATTGGATCTTCCAAATAAAGGTTGAATTTGAAATTAGTGGCTCTGGAGACCAACATTTGTTACTTTTCTGATTGTTTTTACATCAAAGTATAATTAGGTTAATAGTAAAATTTTACACTGCCTTGGAATGGTTATAAGGGTACTTCTAATATTTTTTAAAATTTAGCTCTCTTGACTATTCTCATTTTGTAAAATATGTCAGGATAAAAGTTCAGAGAATGTAGATTTTTATTGCCTTACAGAATTATCACTTTCATCAGTAAAAAGGGTTTTGGTGAAGCATTTTTTTCCCCTCTCAGAGCCTTTGATGTGTGAGTACCTATTACCATAGCATTTGACTGAAACACCGAAAAAGTTATTTGACTTTGGATAACTCAATTTTTTTCTTTTTCTCTTTCTCTCTCTCTCTTTCTTTCTTTCCTTTCTTCTTTCTTTCTTTCTTTCTTTCTTTCTTTCTTTCTTTCTTTCTTTCTTTCTTTCTTTCTTTCCTTTCTTTTCTTTCTTGTTAATATAGTTGAGTACATGTGTGTTTTACCTTTTGTTGAAGTCTCTGAACTCTGATGAACATTCTGAAAAAAACACATACAAAAATATGTTTGTTATTCAGACAACAAATTTGCAAAATAATCAAAGGAGTAATTTCCAAAATTTAAACACTAAAATTTCTCTTGGATGACAAAAAGAAATGTTTCCTAACATCATATATCTATGTTGATTACTTAAAAAGAAAATATCTAAATTATAAGATTAAAAAAAATCCCTCCAAATATTGTAATGAACAATTTGGGTTATGTGACTTTTTAAAAAAGTTGCCAGTCAGTTTGTAATAGCTAAAACTTGGAAACAGCCCAAATGCCCATCAACTGGAGACTGCATAAAGAAAATGCGTTTTTTTAAAATAAAATGGAGTACTACTCAAACATAAAAAAAAATAAATTAGAGACACTTACAGCAAAATGGATACACATTGAGGCGATACACTTAAGTGAAATAAATAGGACACACGTGTATAAATACCGAATAGTTTCTCTGGTGTGAGACACTGAAAGTGTAAATAAGGACTAAAAGGTATAATGGATAATGTGAAATAGGAAGAAAAGGGACAAAGGGGAAAGGGAAGTTGGAGGGGTAGGGGAAAGGAAAGAAGGGAATGGAATTAATATGAGAAAATTAAAAAAAGGAAACAAAGTCTTTGTAGATAGGGAGGGATGGAGGGGTTGAAGGGAGGGGAGGGGAAGGGGGAAAATAAAAACCAAGAGAGACTATGCAAAGGTGCAAATTTTCAATGATGAATGTCATTATATTGTATACCTAAAATGTACCAATAAAAGGATATACAGTTAAAAAACAAGTTGCTAGCATGGGCTAAGCCTTTTCATTGCTATTAGAATATTTCTATAGACACTACCTAGTCACAGTTTCCTTACATAGCAGTAACTAATCTTTTGACATGAACACATTTCCTGTTCTCTCTGTGTAGTGTGTCTGTTTCTTATTATAAGCAGTTACTCAGATTCAAGCTGTGGCTAGCACTAAAAAGAGGACTGAAGTGGACAGAATCATACAGGTTTACTACATAGTTTCATTTTTTTTTCTTTTCTCCTTTGATTGGGGAATTGAGACCAATCACTTTGAGAATTATTACTGACAGTGACTTATTCTTGTAATTGCCTTGTTTTCTTGTTGCTGATTTCCTCTCTTTCCCTTCTACTTAACTGCTCACCCCACACGGTGTATTCATTCTATTCGACCTTTTATCATTGTTAGTTGTACTACCTCTTCCTAGGATACCCTTGAGAATTTTCTGAAGTGTGTTTTTGGTGATTGTAAATTTCTTTAGGTGCTCTTTATTTCTCCATTCATTTTGAAAGATTGTTTTGCGAGATAGATCAGCCTGAGTTGAAAATGGTTTTCTCTTAAGGCTCATCACTTCACGCTAAGCTCTCCTGGCCTTTAAGGTTTGCGTGGATGAGTCTGCTACAATTCTAATAGGTTTACCTTTATAAGTGATTCATTGATTTTCTCTAATGGCTTTTAAGATTCTGTTCTTGAGCTGCAGTTCGGGATTTTATCTATGATATGTTGTAGAGAATTTCTTCTCTGATTGTGGCTATTTGGGGTTCTATATTTTTCACTTATCTGGGTGTTATTTTTTTTCTCTTATTCAGAAGGTTTTCTGCTATTATTTCAGTATACAAGCACGTCCTTGCTCTGCAGATGGGAAACATGATCAGCCCTCTGGTCTCTGCTGAGTGCAGGCTAGGGTAGGGGCTGAAGTGGACTGTTGATCTAAAGGCTGATGTTTCTGGGCTCTGGTTACTCCCTACATAGGGCCTGTGCCTTTCCCATCCCAAGCCTATACTTTTCTGGGGTCTCTCTCTGGCCCACTCCCTCTCCATTGTGACCTCTGGTGGTTGTCTCTCACCCAGTCACTTGGGGGTTACACTGGAGTCCCTGAAGTTCCTGGCCAGGTCCATACTTTTTCTCTGGGTCTGCTGGCTTTCTGGGCTTACCTTTCATCCCAGGCATTGTCCTCATCCAGGACCAGGTCAGCTTGTTAGTCCACTCCTCTGCTGCCCCATGTCAAAGGGAAGCAAAATGGAGGGCCATCTTGGAGTTGATGGACGGTTGTGCCCTTGCTCTGGGGGAGGGGTGCTGCATGTATGGTGCGGGCCTGTTTGCTCAGGTCTTTACTTTCATCTTTTTTGGAACCATGGACGTACTCTGGTGGCTTAGGATTTGCTGGCTATAACTTCATTATTATGAAACTTACACAAAGTGACCAACAGATTCACTAAAAATAAAGTTTCAGCCCCGAAGAAAATTCAATTTTCTAATAAGATCTATTTTGACACAAATTTTTAAAAATTAAACAATTATCCTTATTATTTTGATTCAGGATCTCACTGTGTTTTCTAGACTGGTCTCAATTTTCTAGGTTCACATGGTCCTCTTGCTTCCACCTTCTGAATAACTAAGACTATAGGTATACACCTCCATGCCTGTCCCTATTTTCTTTAATTAAAAAATTTAAAGTTTGTTTTTAATAAAATCAAATTAATTAAAAACCAGATTTCTTGGGCTGGGTATTTAGCTTAGTGGTTCCACTGCCTGCCTTGCAACCACAAGGTCCGAGTTCAATCTCTGGTACCAAAACAACAACAACAACAACAACAAACAACAGCAAAATAGATTTCTTAAACAAATAACTGTTTTCTTGTGTCAAAGAACTTGGTATACTATTCTTTTAGAGAAAGAACATTTCTACCATTTTGAAAATATCATTAAATTTATATGCAACTTCACTTGAAAGTCTAATCCATATGAATCTTCTCAGAAGCACTTCTATTAGGTAGAATATTTCATCTGAGTACAGCAACAACCACCAGTCTTAACAACTGCATGTAAGATCTTCACCCCATCCATGTGGGAAAGATTATTAAAGATTTTAGCTCTACTGAACTAGAATTCAATTTATTCAGAAATACAGACTTGTATTATAAAATCACCATGACATCCACCTACACCACTGTGTGAAAGAAGATATTTTTCACTATGTGGTTTCTTTTTTGTATGAGTGTTTAATGGAAATATATTAGGTGAGCCTCTGGACTAAGATGTGAAGCACAGGAAATTCTTTCCAGTGCTAAGTGGAAACATGGAATAGAGTGTAACTACATTTGTGATATAATTTTTCATCTTGCCAAAACTTACATTTAATAAATACCTAATTACTTCCTTTCATGGCAGGAAATAGTCTCTTGCAAGAAGACCAAAACTGAAGCCAAGAAAAAGGGAAGCTTCTCATATTTCAGAATTTGTTGGCAGAAGACCTACAATTCTCAGTATTTCTTTAATCTCAGGTTTGTCGTGGGTGGATAGCTTTAATTATTTGGGCATTGTTAACTACAGTTTGTTACTGCACAAATTCTGCAAAATGTACTTATTAATCATGCCATTATTCTTATATAACTGTTCACAACTAATATAAGATGGAAAAGATATGAGCAAAAAGTTTGAATGCAAAAGATGATGTAGAATAAGTGAACTTTTCAAGTCTACTGAAAATAAGTAGGATATGTTTGGAGTGCGGTCTATCGAACCATCCACATGTTAAATAAAACTCAGGAACTGTCAACTTTTTTCATCATTTCCGTGAATGAAAATAATTTCAGTCTTATCAAAACACTAGACAATTAAAATTTTATGTAATGAGTTTAGCTGCAAAGAAAAATTATACCAAACTTAGTTCTTAGAAGTACATAAGGAAAAAAAAAAAAGAAGTACGTAAGGATTATGAAATGTGAATATGACAGTTTCTTGAGCATTATAATTGTTCATGGCTTTTCTAGGAAATAACTAATGTTTCCAGGAAGGGTTCTTTTGGCTTCAGATAAACTGCATGTTTAATATTTCCAAGGAAGTTGTCATTTCTGTTCTTTTGGAAAGTTTCAGAAAGTGAATATATTAAAGATAATGCTGTTTATACCTAGGAATTCTTTCACATTATTTGAAGTGCTTCATCCTAAAATTGTATTTTCCTCATTCAGAGGCCTGTTGTTTGTTTCTGGTGATTGAACAAAAAGCTGGACATAAAAGCTGAAAAACAGCCCAACAGTCTTAGCAGAAGAGAAGACACACGTCCACATTCCCACACCTCGTCCCCTTCCCACTGTGTGCCTGAGGTTCACCTTTGTCACAGGGCTGTGATCAAAGGCTGTGAGATGATGCTGGTGCAACTGATGCTTGTGCGAATTCATGTTGACCTCATGAAGAGGATTTCCAAAAACTATCACCAGCACCACCACCAGGAACAGTAATGTTCCTTATTCTAGTTACACTGTTATCTGGGCCCTTTGTTATCATTATTTCCTTTACTCACAAGAACTCTGCAAATTCTGCTTCATTTTTCTACTTTAGAGATGAGGAAGTTAAACTCTGAGAAATGAATTAATTTTCCAAGGTATATTCAGCCAGAAACTGGTCAATCTTGAATTAAATCGTGTTTGTACTACCCTAAGATCAATGTATTTTTATTAACCCCTCCAGCTGCCTGTATTGTCTCCAAAATGTGATCATCTAGGAGGAACTAATAGCTTATTGAAAGTTACTCACTACTTGTTATCCTGACTTAAGTTCACTTATTGGAAGGACTTTGTACATATAATTCTCTAGTTTTAGTATTCATCAAAATAATTATCTTCAAAACATACTGGTGGTATGGTTTTCAAGACTATGATGTAATTTTTTTTACTTTGACCCAAGATTTTTTAAAAAAATAATCAAATTAAATGTGAGCACATCAGACTTCTTATCTTGATATCATTTGTGAAAACTGTAGCTATTAATATCTACACACAGAAACAGTTTTGGAAAATACGTAACTATTTAATTTGGGTCTGTAATAGTTGGAAAGTAAGATAATAGGTGTTTCTCCCTTAAGAAAAGTAAAAGGAAACAAACAGGAAGTTATCTTAGACATTGAATTTGATAATTTATTGATTATACTATTTGGTTTCTCCATCATATTGTGCTTTCAGTTTTTAATTCATATTTATCTTCAACATATTTGGTGATGTGCTTCTATGGCTCCTGAATCATTGATGCGTGTGTTGTAAATAAATTATTAATTTTCTACTTATTTTCATTATCTAGTCATGTTAAAAGAGCTCTGATTAACATAAGATATAACCAAGCATGAAAAAGTTACTGAATTCTTATAGCTATTGAAGCTATTTGCAACATTGAAAAGTAAGTACAATGGTTTATGAATTCAGTAATGATATGGTTATATGCATTAAATCAATCTTTGGGGGAATTTCAAGCCTACCATATTTGAAAGAAATATAATATCTACTGTTGTTTTTCATGAAAGTGAGGAATGCATATACTTGCTGCCTAAAGAAGTTATGTATATATGAGCATGTGTATGTGTGTATAAATGCTTGGGTTTAAATTTCTATTATGTCATTTAATAATCCTGTGTATACAAGCATTATGAATATCAGATTTTGATAGTAAAATAAATTTAAAACACCATATTGATGGCATTGTTGTGAGGATAAATTGAAAGGAAATAATAATTAAATTGAACGAGTAGTATATATATGAAACTGTTTTATCTATTAAAATGCACTATCAACAATTAACTATAACTGTTCCCTCTTGGCCATAGTATTGTTTTCTGAGATTTCAGTTACCTGTGGTCAATTGCTTTCCAAAAATAGTAAATGTAAAATTCCAGAAAGAAACAATCTATAATTCTAACTTGTTCATTATTCTGCATACTATGATAAAATCTCTTAATGTTCCATGTTTTGTCACCCAGGACTCAAATTACCCCTTTACTCAGTATCCACACATTATATACTACCCATCCCCTAGACACTTAGTACCTATCTGTGTTATCAGATCAACTGTCACAATTTTGTAGAGCTTGTGTTCCTATAATCCTTAATTTATTTTTTTTCATTAAGCTTATTGGTACATTTTAGATATACAATACAGTTACATTCATCATTGGGATCTTGTACCTTTACATGATGTATCTTGGTTTTTATTTTCCCCCATTCCTCTGCCTTCCCTTCAACCCCTCCACCCTTCCCTATTTACAAAGACTTTGTTTCCATTTTTTCCTTTTCTCATATTTATTTTATTTAACAATGGTTTCAAAGTGCCAGAGGAGTGATATTGTCAATTTTATTACATTTTACTTTTATAATTGTTCCACTTTATTACTGTGCCTAATTTATAAATTCAACTTTATCATAGGTATGTCTGTATAGGAAAAAACATGGTATATGTAGGATTTAGTACTATCCATAGTTTTGGGTATCCACTGGAGAAACTAAGACATACCCTGAGGATAAAAGGAGGCTACTATATTATTATGATATTATATCTTTCTGCTTCATCATTTGCTAAACTAAGGATGATAGATTTATCATTACTCAGATTTACTAATACTTTTGGGGGCAATGATCACACTGCCATTCTCTCTTGTTTTCTGAGATTTAAAAATCATCACACAATGATTATTTTCAAACTGGGAAATCAGTAAAGGAAGCTAGAGAAATTCATTCTGCACTTACAGTAGCAAGGTGCACTAGCAATTCAGCAAATGACATTTAAAAACCTGATTTGTTCTTTCCTATATATGTCTGTGTGTTCATGTGCATGAGCAGTTATAATTGCACAGATCAGTGCACAGGATTCCCATTAGAGGTGTACATACACACTTGCATGTGAATATTATGCAAGTATATCCACCTAGGTAAGACTGATTGCAGTTTCACTTAGATGTTACAGGGTAGTCCCAAACTTCAAAGATGTAAGACATTTCCTTTTTAATTTAATTAAATCTACTTGACATAATAGGATCAAGCTGTCATTGCCCCCAAATGAAGAAATTTACTGTCTGCATGTCATACACAAACACACAAGTATACACATACACACAGATGTATAGTTGCCAGCCCAAAGTCTTTACCCTCTTTAATTAATTTGTGAACTTGGGTTTAATGAATGTGTAATAAATGAGTATATTTACCTCTCCTGTTCTCTGAGGAATTAATTTTAGTTCATTTACTGCATCTGTAATTTGTTTGGTTTCAACACAGCCAAGGACACTGCATAGATTTTTAACTTCTTCTATAATATTATCCACGTATTGCTGTAGATGACAAGATTCACCCATTACTATTTGTTAAAATTCACAAGGTACTAATTTATCTTCAAATTAACTCTCTTTCCATGAAAAAGGAAATGGAATAAAATGTGGTTGATTGTTCCTACATAAAAGATTCCCAAGAGTCTGGTTAGCCTGTGACCTAAGTCATAATTTAGACCAGTAAATGTTCGAAAGTAGGCTTAACTCAACACTGATTTACTTACTTTATTCACTTATTAGCTAAATTAATTCTAATGTAGCACTACTGGAAATGAAATATGACCAAGGGAGAATGAGGGAGGGGAGAAGAAAGAGGGAGAAAAAGAAAAAGTGAGACAAAGATAAGGACTCACAATACAAAATATTTTAAGTCTACTTATTATAGAGCATTTTATTAGCAATACATTATCAACATGAAGAAAAGACATTTGTTTTACATTATAGGACACTGATTTCTCTTTCTGGAAAAGTCATACTTTTTAATATATTGTGATTTTTACAAACACTGAAAACTTATGACAGAAACCTGGGTAGAGTAACTAATACTATGAAAGACAAAGCAGAGATTTCAAAGATGTCAACAGAGTTGATCAATGAAGATGCAATTTAAGACACATTTTTAGTTTTTGATAGATTAAAAATATACAACTACTCATAACATAGAGAAGAAAACTCTGAATAATCCCTATAGAAAAAAGTCAATTATTTCATTCATGTTTGAACTCTGTATGAGTGTGATGTGGCTACCAGAACATGGACTTCATTAATAAAATGAATCAAATTACATATAACCTCAATAACTAGAAAGTTACAAATTTATCACATTTTAAATGTGTATCATCAACACTGGAGCTCAATTTTGGGTATCATATTTGAGCATAGACTTGGATTAGTCAGATTTTTCCAAAGAAGATCAACCCCACTATTAATACACTGTAAATACATTTATTCATTCATAACAGCATAGCAGACAATATTTTCAGCTCTGCAATCAGGATGCATGTATGTAAATTCTGGCTCTTCTTTCTACCTGTGATCATCATTAGAATATTTAACTTCTATGTACCTAGGTTCTCTATGAAGTAGGACCAATAATAACAAATTATAAGTTTGTTGTAAAGATTGAATGACATACACTATGAAAAAGTAAAGGCAGAGAATAATGGTTAAATTTTAATATTAAATTAAATTTTAGCCATTCACACAGATGTTTCAGTTTGTAAGAGAAATCAGACATTCCACATATACGGTTAGATAATAAAATGAACTAAAAAGTCATAAAACTATGAGTAAGGTACATATTAGGTGCTATTTTTTATTCATAATTCAAACTTGGTATGGGATACATATGAATTTGTAAAAATTCATTAATATTACTAATTAAAATGCAAATATTGGGTTAACTTGGGTCACTAGGTAGTTGGTAGCTAATTTGCTGAATCTACGATACCAATCTTATTGTATTTCTTATCTGATTTATTTTTCTCACTTAATATTCACAAAATTCTGAAAGATAAATATTATATTCTTTATATTCATGAGTGAATGAGTTTGTTAGAATATTTTGAGCAAAATATTGCAATTATAAAATTACCCTGGTGATTAATTGAATATGAAAAACCAATAGGAAAGTAGGACTTAAGGTGATTCTGAAATTTCATATTTGGGAAACTAAGACCATATGATGGCATTAATCATGGCAGAAACACAGACACAGTGGAAAGAATTTTAGTAGGATCGTCATGCATGTGTTTTTTGACACACAGAGCTTTAGCTGTCCAGGGGAAGTGCAGGGGACCTAACTCCAGCAATTACTGGAAAGGGAAACATAGATACCCTACATACAGGCATACATACAAAAAGACATACACATATGCCACGTTCATATAAACATTAGATGAGATGAATTGTCAGGGAAAAAAATACATATAATTGCACAATTTAGTCCTAAATAAAGATCAGCTAGCTTTCTAGGTGACAGAAATTTAGAGGGAAACTTGAGCCTGGCAGTAGCTCCAACACTGAGGCTACCATGGCCTGAGGCTGGACTAGGCCTTCAGGCTGAAGGGTTAGTGTTTATTGCTTGTATTGGGACATATGCTGATATATTAGGGCTAAACCAATTGGTAGAGGTAACGGAGAGGGCAGAATGGAGCTAAGATCCTTGAATAATCCCCAGATACTGGATTGCCACCTATAAAAGGTGGTAAAAGAAAGCTAAACCAAGTGACCAAGAGAACTTTGGAGGAAGGCTTTCTCTATTTAGAATCTGGTATCAGAAAAACAAAATCCTCATCTTTATTATGTGCATCTGTGGAGCATTAATTTGTATTACCTACACTGGGAATTTATGTCAAAAACTGAAATACACTAATGTCATTATTTAGGATCTAGGCAGATGCAAATGGAAAACTTCAGCTGATCCACATTATGAGAACCTGTACTGGCACAAAAGAGTAGGATTTTTCAAAAGATAATCCATATTTCACCCCATTTCAAGAGATATCAAAGCCAGATTTGGGCACTGCCTGACTAGAATTTGAAGATGACTATTCAGAGAGAAAATACAGATGAAGGAGAGAAAAGTTGAAAACTGGGTATATAATGTTTCAGAGCATCTAACAATTCAACAATGGAGCGAAAAGTTTGGGTCACAGATGGAAAATCTCAAGTGTGGGGACTTGAGTCTCAAGACTACTGCCTAACAGATGAATGTCCATGGGAAGGGAGTTGATGGTATGGAAATTTTCAGGTTGGAGTAAAAAAGGAAAATGAAGCATGATAACCATTTTCAAGTACTTGATAGCCTTTCAGGAGGAAAGTGTATTTGATTTGCTATAAATAGCTCTGAAATGATAAATTAGAACAAATGGTTGCAAATTTACAGAGATCTGCAGGGTATGGAGGCCCAGGCCTGTAATCCTAGCACGTGAGAGGCTGAGGCAGGAGGTTAGCAAGTTCAAGGCTGGCCTGAGCTCCTTGTCTCAAAAAGAAAGATTCACTTTGGCTCAGTTTAAACAAAAAAATCTTTGTTAAAATTATCTCTTCAAAACTTGAGTAGGATGTCCTCGAGTAGAGAATTCCTCCACATTACAGGAATATGAGTAATCAAGAACGATTAGAAGAGATACTTGCATTAAATAGGAGTTTGGACTAGACTAAATCCTTTCTGAGTTGTTTAGTTAATAAAACTGAAGGCAATTATATGTTATTTTCTATGCTGTAACCAAGCTTGTCTGAGAAAATATTTAATGTATCATAGACTTTGAAAGAGCAGTGTTCTGATACTTTCGAGATCAAACATACCTGAAAAGTATTTCGAACATTGGAAAAGTCTGGTGACAAACTTTTCTTCTGTTCATCTTCCTGGAAAACATAAGAAACAGCAAAGAGTTTCCTTTAGCTGGGATGGAGACGAAAGTGAAATTCATTCAATTTAACAGCTTACCGTCTTTCATATTTTATATAAACTTTAATGAATTTCTATTTTTATATCCAGATGAAAATCAGCAAATTCAATTAAAGAGTTTGGAGACAAATTGAGAATTCAGAATGCTTTTCATTTCATATCCAGTAGTTAGTACCATTATTAATTTTCTAAAAGATCAATATAGTCTTTGGAGTTAGTTTGGTTTAAAATGTTAATCCTATTATTAAAAAAAGTTTAAAAGCTAGATAATATACAAAATCATACCTTCTTTCTGATCCTAATAGAGAGCTGAGGTCACAAGGTGAACCAAGTGAAGTGAATTACAGAGTGACAGGCCCCTCCTCCAAAGAGGCAAAGGACACACAAAGTGTCCAGTCTTTGCCTGAGCCCAGGAGAAAGAGAAGGCTACCGGACAAGTGGGTAAGAAGCAATCAGAAGATATTTTAAAAATTCTCAAAGTTCAGGTTTCAGCTGGCATGTCAGTTTGGGACATTAGTGAGTCCTAGACACAGAAACTTAAAATCCAATGCAAGTTCTTTCCCTTTGAGGCCTAATAGTGTTTGCGGGAGACACCGAAGGCAACACATGAATCTGATGACCCAGTGGGTGGTACTAGTATGCGGGTAATTTGCCATTTCCAGAAGACAGCAAGCACAAAGCTCTGTCCACTTCTGTGGCTCTTTCTTTCATTAAAAGTGAAAATCTTGGGGCTGGAGATTTAGCTCAAAGTGAAAATCTTAAGCTGCAAGGAAAAGGGACAGAAAATTCTCTGTTGCTTTGAGCTGAGGAAAAAATCATTTGCTTCAGGGACAGATGTAGAAAGCAAATGACTCTGCTACAAGGGAACAAGTAGGAAGCAGGTGAACACCCTTTGCTGATGAGGGAAAGGCAAAAGCTAAATCCTTTTGCACATGGGAATACTCTGTCTTGGGTGTAGCATCTTACCTCGATGCCAAGAAGAGCAAGAGACTCTCCTGTGCGGGACCCACTGCAGATGGAAGACAGAATTTGGCCGTCAAGTGTAGGAGGGACAGAGATGCTCAGAAAGGCCCAGACTGAGGCTCAGGCATACGAGTCTCCCTGAGGCTGTGGTTGGATCATTGCAACACAAAACTCCCTTGACTCTGCCACCACATGAGTCTGTCATTCAGTAATGAGCAAGAGCAGAGTAGTTCCAGGAGAGGGAAGAAGTATGGCGATAAAAGCTATCCATGGCACAGTCAAGCAGTGACATTTGAAAGCTGAAGGTGGCAACACTGGGAAATTTCCTTTGGTACCACAATCTTAACTAGATAGTACCAACCAAACCTAAGAGCAATAGAAGAAAACTGACCATTTTCAGGCATGCAAACAATTTCACTCGATCTTTAACCTGGTCTACACATGATGTTGGCATCCAATGAACAATTAAATCTACCCAAACAGCTAGATAATACAGCCCCTCATCAATAGGTAAAGCCAGCCTATGAATGACCAGGATGTTTGTTCGTTCAGAAGGGGACTTTAGCTATTATTAATACGATACAGGATCTAGTGGGAAATGTGGACAGCGAGCACAGACAGATGGAGGTTTCAGTAGAGAAACGATACAGAATCAAGTGGAAATGATAGAAAAATAAAGTGTACATGATATTAGAAGGAAAAAATTCCTTCAAGGGCTCATTAGGAGATTGAGCACAACGAAGGTAAGTATCAGTGAAACTGAGGATAGATCAAGAGAAGTTATCCTAACTGAAACACAGAGGGTGGGAAAAAGAGTGTGGGGCTGGGGGAGAAAGCAGGACACAAAATTCAAAAGCTATCAGACAGAGTCATTTATTTAACTAGACTTCTGGAAAGATAAGGATAGGACAGACAGATATTTAAAGAGATACAGGCCAACATATCAATATTTGTGGGATGCTGCTAAAACTCAAGAGCAATTCATGACTGTAAAACTTTAAGAAAATAAATAGCTCAATGTCAATGAAAGAAAAGACGAATTTATAGTTAAAATAGTTCCTGCAAGGAGGACTCCAAGTTAGTTTCATTAGTGAATGAAATGACTGAAGGAAGCAATAAAACCAAATCTACTCAAATTGTTTCAGAATATAAAGAGGGAACATTTCTCAACCTATTTTATGAGGCCAGTATTCACTCTGCTACTAAAATCCACAACAATATTATAAGAAATAAAAACTATAATGCGATGTCCCTCTTAAATACAGATGCAATATCCTTAACAAACTACCAGTTAATTAAAGCTAGAAATATACAGAAAGGATTATAAATTCTTAGTAATATGACTTATTTCAGTAATGCTCACTTTTTAAAATTTAGAAAGTGTAAAAGAGAAAAACCATGGACTATAGCATCCTCCATCTAAGAAGTTTTTAACAAACTAACAAGAGAAGGAAACTTTTTCACACTGTAAAAGGCAACTAACTTCATATCACAACTACATAACTTCTGTAATTGCATACTATTGGTGAAAGACTTTCTAAAAATAGCAAGTAGTACAATTCTTTTGCAGCTCTTGACAAGTATTTAATAACAAAAGCCCTATTATTAGAGAGAAAAATCAAAATTATTTCAGAGATGGTATGACTGTTCCATAAATAGGTACTTAGATTTATGAAACAAAAGAGGGAATTTAGAACTCCATCTACATATACATAACTAATTTTTTTGACAGTGTTGTTAATATTATGGAGCACTTAGAGATAGAGAACAGGGTATCATTTTAAATAATTGTTCAGGAATAACTGGTTATTCATTTTGAAAAACCAAACCAAACAAAAAAGGCTTGAGTATTACCTCTTAACTACACAGAAAGTTACTTGAAATGGATAATAAACAACTATAGTCATTAAAAGACTGGAGAAAATTTATGCCAACTTGTGTAGGCAAATCTTTATTAAATGATATGAAAAAAAGCCAAAAATATAAAATAATAAAATGGGATTTTATAAAATTAAAACCTTGAACTTTCTTAATGGCACAAAATAAATGAAACAAACAAGCAAACAAATTATAGATTGAGAGAAAATATTTTTAGTATATATGTCACATAGCTCACAATGATCTTGTATCTAGAATATATATATAAGGACTTTTGCAATTCCATAACAATAGGATATATAATTCAATTTAAAAATGAGCAAACCATTTAAACAAACACTTGGCAAAAGAAGATATATGAATGGTCATGAAACATAAAAAGTAATTCAACATCTTCAGTGATTAAGGAAATGAAAATTTAAAACCAAAAATTTTGCTATGCCCTACAGTGAGTAAAATTAGAGCTCTAACTGCAATAAATGTTAATATATAGAGCAGCAGGGACTCTTGAACTGTACGTTATGATTCCATTTATATAAGATTCACAAAAAGACAAAAAGGTATTCAAAATGAGCTACAATAAATCTTTGGTTGCATGAAGTCTAAGCATGGGAGGAATTTACTACTGAGAGACATCTGGGTACATTTTGGTGTATTGAAAGTATTTTATATATTGGTTCTAGTCATAATTATATAGATATGTGCATTTTCAAATTTAATCCAACTGTCCATATAACATGGGTACAGTTTACTTTATATGAATTAAACTTTGAGAAAGCTGATTTAATAAATAAGACATCATGATGAAGGTAAAAAGGTAAAACCACCAACTGGCAAGCTATATTAATGACACATATAACTGAAAGAAGTAAATATATGAGTTATTCCCATGAGTCTTGATAAGGTAAACATGGAAAGTGGACAAATGTAAATTGCAAAAGAAAACAGTTGAATCTTATATTTTTTAAAAGTAAATACTTTGGTGATGATACTTTCCACTAAAGAGTACCTATTACTTAGAGGGGAGAATTGAAATGGGACACAGATAGATTATGTGATAATAGGGACATTTATTCCTTAACTCATTGTTTATATCCTTATTCTTTAATTTGTATATGATATTGCATGTTCTTCAAATATTACATAATTAACAACACAAGTTCCAAGTAGAGTGTCTGATCATATTATTCCTTTCCACAAAGATTTCCAGTACTTTCTATCTCATTAGGAATCCAAGGTGTTAATGAAACTGATTATTTTCCATTTTGAAGATTGATTTTAACTTCTCATTTTTTATGATTTTGCAATCTTGGCGTATTCTATAGATGATAAATTTAACTTTTAGAAGTTTCAATCTGCCCCTTTTTCTGCTAAGATAGGTTTCATTTCCACCATTGTGCATTATTTTCCTCTGACCTGATTTTACCTTCCTTTATCTCTTGAATTCCTTTGTGAGCTTCAACTGGTGCTTGATTCCTATTCATTTTATCCTGTTTTCTTCTTACAAATTTTTGCTCCTTTCTCACCTTTTCTTATAGTCTATTGTGAATGCAAATCAATTCTGAGGCATAATGCTTCTGGATCCTATATAATTCTCAAATGTAGTGGTGGTGATAAAATTAGTGACAGAACAGCAATAAAATAACACCTGCACTTATATTCTTGTAGTGATATTCAGTCACTACATTATATTATGTCCATTATATCAATTGTTTCATTAATCATTTAAAATACCATAAATATCACTGCATCATATTTTATTATCCTCACTCTTATTATGAATAATATGAGCTCTAGGGAGGCTGCATAAATACCTCCAGAGTGGTGGAGGTTGACAAAATATCTATTTGACTTTGGAATCTCTGCCTTTATTAAATCCTGCTCTATATTGCTATTCTGTTTAAATTAGTTTGGAATCGGAACTCCTGAAAATCTTGGTGTTACTAAGACAGCTTCAGTTCTAAAAATAGCTAAATATATCTCATAAAATTCCATGTGCCCCCTCTTTCTTTCCATCTACTGTACAATTAATTCAGTAGTTTCTCAATTCTCTTGTGAAGTTGCCATCAATGATAGGAATTGTTAACTTTCTCTAAAGGTCCTAACCAGCATTTTA